AATAATTGATATTGTTATGATTTATTTTTAAAAATTTATTTCCTAAGCAAAATTCAAACACTACATGTTATTTTACTTCAAATAATTTCCTTAAAAATTAATTTTATTGCCTTAATTAAAATAAATAAAAATAAGCATGAGTAACTTAAAATTCAAATGTTAAATAAATGTAAAATCAGAAGAAAGAATAGATATAGTTACAATATTGTAATAGGTACATAAAAAATATAATTTTACTTACCAAATTAAGAGTGCAATTATATTAATTTTTAAGACATGGTTGTTACAATTTTTATTAAATATTAGAATATTAATTAGAAAACAAATAAAATTTTAAGTAAACATACTAAAAATAACTCAAAAAAATGGGCGGGAAAAGTAGGCTATCCGCATTAATTGGATAGCCTACAATTATATATATATAGATAGGAAATGATATTAAAATATAATTAATACAAATATTAATTTATATCCAAGTCTAACTCAAAAGCATGATTTTTTGCCTAATAGAATTCCAAAGCATGAGAGTTTGTCACGTAGGCTCAGCGTATTATGAAATTATATATAGAGGGGATTAGATTTGCGTTGTATTAAATGTTTACTAGTAATCGTCTTGTGCTTATGCACAAACGTAAATAAAACATTATAAGTAATATTTATAATATACTATTAAATTATAAATTAGATAATAGACATATCACATTTTCAAAGTGTAATCATTACTAAAAATAAAATAATATAAATATAAATTATTTAGGTATATATGAATCACTATATTGATTGAAAAAACTTTGAGGACAATGTAATTTTTAATATTGATGGATCATAGTCAATTTATTTTTCAACTATTATTATTATTATTATTATTATTATTATAGCAAAAATTATTTATAAGATTTTATGGTGGTTTGACTATGTTTTTAACTATTAGCTATTTTTTTAAATGTTTCTTGAGATAAAAATAATAAGAGATAATATTGATTTAAGAATAAAGAGCCTGAACAAATACATTTGCAATTAGGGTTGTAAACGAATCGAATAGCGAATATTTCGATATTCGATTTAGATTCGTTAAAATATTCGGGGATTTGAATTCGTATTCGATTCGTTTAGAATATTCGAACATATTCGATTCGATTCAAAATTCGTTTTTAGAAAAATATTATAATTAAAAAAAAAAAGATTATAATTACATAAATAGTGTTTTGTGTTTTTCTTATACAATTTGAGATGTTTTTACTTTTATGTCATAAAATTATTAGGAATATAACATTATCTATTATAAATTATATTGTATTTTATTTATAAAAATTATAAACTTATCCTTAACGAATCGAATATAGATAATTTCGGATCGAATATCTACAAGTTAAAATTCGGATTCGTTTAACTTTCTAATATAAAATATTATTCGTATTCAAATTCGAATTCAAATATTTTGAACTCGAATCACGAATATTGAATTCAAATATCGAATCGAATAAAAAAAGTTCAGTTTGTTTACAAGCCTATTTGCAATGTAACTTTTTTACACTTATGTAATTTCTATATAACATTCAGTGTAACTTATTATTAATTGTTTTAACATTAACTAGTATACAATATAATAGAAAAAAAATATATGATTACACTTAAATAAAATAATTTTAACGGTTTTCTACCATAAGTAGTTAAAAAACGGGGGAAACATTACTAAATGAAGTTGAATAATATAAAAGGAAAAAAAGTTGCACTAATGATGAAAATTTCGTAACGTCTTTTGGCAGGAAACCAAAAACATTTTTATTAATTGCTCTATCAGCAGTTATATATATATTATTCACGTCAAATCCGTGATTGATCTCTTACTTATTTCTTCCATAATTAATTATTATAAACTATTTGACGTTTCTAGTCCTGTGAACGAGCGGAGCTGAGCTTGAGCATAGGGTGTTCGAGCTCGAAATCTTAACGAGTTAGAAATTAAGCTCGAGTTCGGCTCATTTATCACTGTTAACGAGCCGATCTTGAGCTTTAACAAGGCGAACTATAGAATATTATATAAAAATTATCTTATCGAGCCGTGTTGAACTCGACTCGTTAACCAAACGAGCTCTAAATGATCTCGAGCTCGACTCATTAAGGGCTCGAGCTCGAGCCGAGCCGAGCCAGACTCGTTTAACTTAACAACACTAGGCATTTCATTTTCTTACACCATCATATTTTACATTTAATTTTCTTATTCAATTCATACATCAGCCACTATAAATGTGTCCTCTATTTTTTTTTAATGTATAGCATTTTTTTGCTTGTGTTTTACTTTTCATATATGATATATCAATTTAATTATCGTTTAATGGTTTTCTATTCGTCATCTATATTACATATACAAAGATAAAAAAGGTAATATTTATCCTTATAAATAAAATTTAAAATTACTTATTAAAAAATTATCTTATAAAATAATAAAAAGTTATTTGTATTAACTGATAAAATATTTGTTTTACATAAAATATCCTATGTTATACAACGATGCCCTGAGTCAGCCAATTATGCATGAAAACGCGTCATACGCAACGAAAGTTGGACTCATATCATTCTGGGTCCAAGGTATATGAGAAAAGGTCTAAGAGTCCACAATAAGTCGCGTCTGATCTCTCTCTCTCTCTCTCTTCAAAACCTGAGTATCGATCTACTAGGTAGCATATTGTGTTGTCTTTTGTCGATCTCTTTCAAGTACAAAATATAAAACACATTGAGATTGACCTCCCAACCGACCTCATCATCAAAAAAAAGAATTTTTGTATGGGGACACACATTACTCCCTTACGTTTTTAGTTGAGTTGACACATTGTCATCATTTTTTTCCACTTTTCCTACATTTTGTTTGTATAAAATTAACCCTTAGAAGTTCATAATGAAAAAATAAAAAATATAATAAAATCACAAGTACATCTTATATACTTTATTTTCTCTTCAGTTGTTTACGTCAATCACTTCATATTACTTGGCGATCTCAGCTTGATGATCCAATTTTACGCTTAATACATTCATATACGTTTAAACGGTTGATTTTTTACCCTATTATTCATGCTATTATTTAGTTCTTTTATTATGGTTGACATCCAACGCCAACTATAATTATTTTATTTTGAAAAAAATGAAAACATAAAACGTGTATGAACATAAAATTAATATAAACAAATATTCTTAGATTTTATGTATAGAGAGATTAAACATTGTAATAATATTTATATAAATATTATAATAAAAATTAATAAAAACAATTTTTGTATACAAGTGACACATTTTAACAAATAACATAAATACAAGTACAATACCGTGTATTACACGGGTATTGAATTAGAAAACTTTTGTAAAAAATATTATTTTTTTATTTTTTTAAATAAAATAATCTAATTCTATATAAAACATTACTTTGGGTTTTAATTAAATTGTCAAACTATATTTTTTAATCATAATAATTAAACATCCGTATATTAAATGAAAATGTCAACCAGTGTTTAATTTCTTTACTTATATCATATAAAAATATCGATATTATTTACTATTACATAAGTACAAAAATATATATCTTAAATAAATAGAAATAATATGGTGATATATATATGCATAAGTGTAGAATATGTTTATTTAATATTAAGCAAAGTAGATTATCTTTTTTACTTAATTAGATGCCTAATACATCAAGTGTCGTATCAGTCGTGCTTCACAATTTTTTAACTTTATATGTAATTTTAAAATTTAGATAAATAATTATTTATTTTAATTAGATTGACAACATACCAATTAGATTTGAAATAAATATCATTTTTAAAAGAATACATACCAATTTCTATTACTCTATATAATATAATTTATAGTTTTATTTGATATAATTTAATTTAGTTTGATAAATGATAGTTAATTTGACATATCATATATGAAAAATAAAATACAAACAAAAAAGTTATAAAATTTTAAAATAAGAAGAAGAAACATTTATAAAAACCAATGAATGAACTATATAAGAAAATGAAATGTGATGTATGATAATGTAGGAAAATGAAACATAAAATAAAATAGTTTATGATAACTAATTGTAGAAGTAAAGAATGAAAAAATCAATCATGGAGTGTGATAAAAAATATTAATTTTATATCCAAGCTTAAATCCAAACCATGATTTTTTGCTAAATAGGATTCCGAAACATGAAACTTTGCCACGTAGGCTCAGCGCATTCTAAAATTATATATAGAGAAGGGATAAACATGATTTTTTTTTTGTTTTCAAAATAAATATTGATTTTTATTAAAAAATATATCAACACGACCTACATAATCGTTACATTGTCTCGCACAAAAAATTACGATACAATACACATACTTCTTGTGTTTAATGAAATGTGAATTTTGAAAAGAAGACGTTTTGCCATTTTCAATAATCTTTTTTTTTTATTTATATATATTAAGTTTCAATAGTCTTTTTACACATGTGTGTTGATGATGAATTTTCCTCAAATTGTAATCGAAAAAAATTGATTCCCATTAATAAGGGCACTAAGGCCTATAAATGAGTCGAGCCGAGGGTCCTGAGTTCAAGCTCGGCTGGACTCGTTAGCTAAACGAATCGGAAATCGAGTTTGAGCAAGACTTGCTTGTCAATATTAATGAGTTGATATTGAGCTTTAACGAGTCGAAATTATATTTAATTTTGCTTTTCAAGATTTAACGAGCTGAGTCGAGCCAAATTTGTTAATGAAACGAACTTTGACCGAGCTCGAGCTAGACTTGTTGATCAAACGAGTCAACCCGAACTCAAACCTTAACGAACCGAGCTAACGAGCAACTCGTTTTGCTTAACAAATCTAAGCACTACATTTCTCTTAACAATATACAATACATGAGATCCAACGACGGACATGTATATATGAGATCCAACGGTGGTCGGTTGTCTCCAAATTTTAGCAACAAAATATTCAACCAAATTACGGAAATGCCCCCAGTCAAATTCAAACCCCCCTGGGTTGCACGTGGGACCCACTAAATCCTCAGCCTCCACCAACACAACCACCATCATCTTCCCCAAATTCTCACGTCGTCGCCTCCCTTTCATTCCCTCTCATCTCATCAAAAAACCCCTAATTTAACCAGAAATTCTACTGAAAAAATCGATCGAGCCGAGCCCCATATGTGAAATTTTCCCCCTTTTGTTCCCAGGCAATCTCCAAACGCTCTGTAGAAGGGAGAACAATTCGTATCTCAAAGGGGAAAAATTCAAGAAAAAGGGCAGAAAAGTAGGAGTAATTTCATCAGAAAANAAAAAAAAAAAAGAAAAAATAAAATGGGTGTGGATTACTACAACATTCTCAAGGTCAACCGCAACGCGAGCGAGGACGACCTGAAGAAGGCCTACCGCCGGCTTGCCAGGATCTGGCACCCAGACAAGAACGCCAACAAGCACGAGGCCGAGGCCAAGTTCAAGCAGATCTCCGAGGCCTACGACGTCCTCAGCGACCCCCAGAAGCGCCAGATCTACGATCTGTACGGAGAGGAGGGCCTCAAATCCGGCCAGTTCCCCCCGCCGCCGCCGCGAGGCTCCCGGGCGGCGCACGGGAACCAGGGTTTCCACTACAACAGCCAGCAGCACCCGAACCCTAATTTCCGATTCAACCCGAGGGACGCGGACGATATCTACGCGGAGATTTTTGGTGAGAACAGCGGTGGGGGTGCCGGAGGCGGCGGCGGCGGCGGTAGTGGGGGTGCTAGGAGGGACGGGCATTTCAGGAGCACAGCGATGAATGGCGGTGGTAGGGATTATGGTTCAGGTGGCGGGGGTGGGTCAAGGAAGGCCCCGCCGGTGGAGAATGTGTTGATGTGTAGTTTGGAAGAGTTGTACTCTGGTTCTACGAGAAAGATGAAGATTTCAAGGAATGTTCTTGATTCTCAAGGGTAATTGATTTTTCTAGTTTGATTTCGATATCTTATTCTATGCTGTCTGTAGAGGTAATTTGCTTGTTTTGCTGTTTCATTCCTCAAGGTTTTGCCTTTACTATTTTTCTTTTGTCCGATTTCCTTCGAGTAATTCTAATTGTTAGGTGAATTTTGTGTACTATGATTTTGAAACTAATTAAGCAGGAGCTTTTGCTTTTCATAGGGTTTCGTTCAAGTTTATGAATTTCCACTTTGTGTACTTCTTAGGCCACTTTGAATCTACTGTGATGTGTAGCTTTGAATATTTTGTCTTTCTTCATTGAAGCTATGCTTGGTATCAGAATTATATGCCCTCGGTTTTATATTCCTATCCCCGTACGTGGACTTTGCATTTGTGACATTGCTGTTACTGTTTGGACCTTTTTTTTTTCCTTTGCTTGTTTCTCTTGGAATTTTGAGCCGCAAAACTTGAACTTTAGGATCTTTATTATTTAATTTATTGCAACTTGATATAATTGGGAAGGAAAAATGCAATCTTTGAGTGAGGTGGATTCTCATGATCCACCTTGATATATCCAGCCTGGACTGTTAAAGATCTCATTTTTGCATTGACACCGAGTCTCCAAAAGTTGGACTCCACTAGCTGTCAAGATAAATTTGCTACAGAAGTAAAAAATTGCAAAAGTTGCTCTGTACCTCTATATAAAAGGAGTTAAGCTGTGAGGTTAGGTTAGATGTGGTTTGATTCACGGTTGAGCGTGATTCGAATTCTTGTGTTCTGTATCTGCTTGTGTTTCCTTAGGTAGGAGGTTCTTACACTTTTCCTTCATGTGGTGAAATTGCTATACCTATTCTTCAAAAACCTTGCTTCTCTTTGAGGTAGTGGAATTTTTCCAGGACAAGAATATCCGCAATTTCTTCTGTGTGCAAAATTGATAGTCCGTTGATCTATTGAAAATGAGAAATTTGTCGAATTGGACAATAGCATTTTTCTTTTGTGGAAGTAATGTGAGTGTGGCAACCTATATAATTACGATGTAGTGCGGATTTTATTGCATAGATTCTATGCTAATTTGACGGTTGAAGAGCTTTTACCTATAAAATATGTAAATATCAACCTTCTGAGCGTTGAAGGTGAATCATACGCAACTTCTTTATTGTCAAGATTGAGTTATTTGAGTAAAAATATGTGTATGTACACATTGAAATGGTGTTGCCAACAACTTATTTTCTCAGAATTGAATTAGGCAGCTTTTGCAAATATGATGTGAATTTTGCTTCAAATGTGAAAAATGCCATATATTTTAAATAATATTCTCTTAACTACATCTCCCATTTGGAAAATTAGCAATCTTTTTCAACCTGCTAATCTCTTTTCGCCTTCTTTGTGCAGTAAGCTCCGGGTTTTGGAGGAGATCCTAACTATCGACATAAAACCCGGTTGGAAAAAGGGCACAAAAATCACTTTCCCTGAAAAGGGCAACGAAGAACCCGGCATAATTCCAGCTGACCTCATTTTCGTGTTAGACGAAAGACCTCATCCAGTTTACACGAGAGATGGTAATGATTTAATCGTGAGACTCGAAATAACACTGCTCGAATCATTAACTGGAAAGACAATTGAGCTCACCACACTCGATGGAAGGAATATTACAGTGCCCTTAACAGAAATCGTCAAACCTGGGCACGAGATTGCTGTCCCGAACGAAGGTATGCCCGTTTCAAAAGATCCCAGGAAAAAGGGAGCTCTGAAGATTCAAATCGATGTCAGGTACCCAAAACGGCTGACTGAATCACAAAAATATGAATTGAGGAGAGTTTTGGGAGGAAATTCTTGATCATTTTTTAAAAGAGATGGTATAAGTGAAGGTTAGATAATCGAGCATTCGGGTGTAAATACAAAAAACAATGCATGCTAGTTAAAATGCTTGGGTGTGTTAGAAAGGATATGCAATGAGGGCTTGAAGGGGAGATGAATTGCAAATGCTATCTCTCTCACTTGTTGCAGGAAGTGGACTTGTAGGCCAAAATTTAGTTGGCTTGCTTGCTTATCGGTCTCAAGAGGTTATTGTTTTGATTTATTAGCAATCGGCATACATGGAAACTAGATATTCTCGGGGTTTTTTTAGCTGCAGATGATTCGTATTCTTGTTGCCGAGAGAATTGTTTTAAGTTTTTGTGTTTATTTTGAATCAACTGGAAATAAAAGGTTCAATTCACATCGGTAGCATTTTTTTGGCTTATCCCAGATATTTATTAATGTTTGCAGGCATNNNCCTTGATCGACAATCGGGAAAAAATGTATTGATATTTATGCTAGAAATGATGTTTATAAAATCTCTTCACAAATGCCTCAGTAGTTTGTGTGATTTTTGTTATCTTCCTTGATTTTTAGTCTTTGTTCATATCACATCAGGGTAAAAACCTAACCTTTTACTTACAAAAACTATACTTTGCCACAAATTTTATACTGTAAGATCCACAAAGACATTGTGGTGGAATCTTAGTTCATAATTTGACAACCCACTAATTTTGACATGGTGTTAAAAAGATGATTTCTAGCATAATTTTATCCTGAAATCTCAATTGCCCGATTGACTACAAGTTAAAACCGGTTTTAAGTGATCGAATATTTTACACTACTTAATTCAAAATCTCAATTCAAAATTAATCTAACTAACTTTCATCCACTGTTCTAAAAATCGGCCTAGGCGGCCGCCTAGGCGGCGCCTAGGCGCTAGGCGGTGCCCGGGCGCCTCCGATTTGTACAAATCGGCAGAAAGAATCGGCCAGTCTAACGCCTCCGATTTGTACAAATCGGCAGAAAGAATCGGCCAGGCGGCTAGGCGGCGCCTAGGCGGGCCTAGGCGGCCCTAGGCGCTCCTAGGCGGCCTTGGCGGGCTCGGCGGCCAGGCGGTTAGGCGGCGTCTAGGCGGTCTTAGGCGCTCCTAGGCGGGCTCGGCGGCAATTTTTCAATTTTTTTTAATTTTTATTTTATTTTTTTATATACTAATTACATTATTTTGTTCTCATATTTTCTTTAATATATATTAATATTATTATTTGGACTTTGGTGTGTGAATTTATTATATGTTGAGATAATCTTATTTTGTAGGTAGTTAAAATAAATAAAAAATAAGGTATTTACTATTGATTTCTGGGCCCCGACTAGGCGCCGCCTAGGCCCCGACTAGGCGCTCTAGGCGCTAGGCACTGGTCGAGCGCCTAGCGGGCGCCTAGCGACTTTTAGAACACTGCTTTCATCAATATTATCAATACGGTTAAATAGTAGCGATTAATCATCCTCACTGATCATATCACCTTTAATTAACTATTCATCTATTTATATTTTTTTAACTATCTATTATTTTTACTAACGTATCTACTATTTTTACATCACATAAATTAAAATTAATACATTTTAAAATTTACTAACTTTAACTAATAAATCCAATCGAAATTGATTTTATTTATAACAATAGTCCCAACTAACTCAAATTACGCGGTTTTGAACAATTGTTAAACATTTCATTTGGAAGTGCTATTCTGGTGCCTTACTTGTAAATATTAATTTAAGATCTCGAGGGCTTGAGATAGATGTCATTTGTGCTGTTTGTGGAGAGGCTGAAGAATCTATAGAACACATTCTCTTTCACTGTAATCAAGCTCAACAGGTTTGGAAAATTGCCCCTGTCAAATGGGAAGGACCTCAGCAGACTGAAATATTCAAGACCTGGTGGTGGGAAGTTTGTAAGCTAGACAAAAGCGACACATCAGAGGCAAGGCTGCAACTATCTACATACATCCTCTGGTGGCTGTGGAAATGCAGGAACTTGTGGGTTTTTGAAAAAATTAGAAGGCCTGCACACTCCATAGTCAAAGCAGCTGTTCAAGACTGGATTGCTTATTTGGAGTCAAATGTGAGCAGGCCAAAGCATTCATAGCTTATATATTTGGTTTCAGATCAACTTTTCTTTTAGATTTGCTTTTACATCCTGTATGTTTTTTAGCACCTAGTATGACAGGGGTAAGGTCTTCAGTTGATCAATAACTGCCTTTTCCCTGTATTTTCTTTTCTGAAGGTCATTTAGTCTCTAGGCCACTTCTCAGTGGTTCTCCCAATGTCGGCTTGTTGAGTCTTTGTATGGTTTATGTATTCCTTATTAAGACATTATGTAATGTTTATGTTGAAATAATGAGATTACCTATCGTTTGAGAAAAAAAAAAAAAAAAAAAAAAACTTNTAACTTTCTCAAAAGATGCATACAATTTTGAAAAAATTAAGGGCATGTTTGTTTATGAAATAATTCATTTCAAACTCAAAATTTAACTCAATTATAACTCAATCCCACTATCATTTATATTATTTATATAATTAAATATATAAACCAATCATTCTTACATATCACATCAATTTTAATTCACTATTTATCCACTTACATAATTTTAACTACCTATCATTTCCAATCATTTATATCCTACTTTTACATTAGATTATTAATAATTATTTTATTTTAAATATTATTTTAATATATTATTAAAATTCTACTAACAATTAACCATACTATTTTTTTTAAAATTAATTCTAATTAACTAAAATAACTCATTTTGAATGAAATATTTCATAAACAAGCACTCCCTGAGGACCGTTGTTAAAACCGAACACCTCATACAACTTTAATTTTTGCGCGCGTGAATATATTTTTGTCAATTTTCAAGAGTTATTTCTTAAAAAATATTCTGCAAGAATATAGAAATCAAACAGGGCTAACTCATACATTGGGCTTTTCGGTCAAACCATCACGCGCCAATCAACAGCTTGACATCTATTCTATGCTGTTTTGTTGCCACGTGTACCGTTTTTAGGTGTTTCTTAGCAAATGAGCCTTCCAATGCACAGACTATAACCACGCTCCCTTTGGTGTGATTTTTTTTAGCTCAACCTTTTTGAAATTCAATAGACTAACGGCTACATCTCACTGCACATTTCTCCATGCAATTTCAACTATGATGCTTTCTCGTTCAACATTCATTTGTATTNTTTTGTTTTTCTTTTTATGAGTAAAATATGAAAAGTTTACAACAAAATAGAAATTTCAAAGTACAATATTGAACGATTAGAATAGTAAAAATATATATTTTAATGTGAAACAAGAAGCGAGACAAAGAACTCATTTAAATTCGACTCTATAAGGTTTAAAATAAAAAAAATATATAATTTTCATCTCGTCAAGACTTGTTGTTAGCTTATAATGACTCGAACTCAGATTTACTAACATAATAAATGGATTAAACTCAAGCTGGTTAAATTAACAAGTCAAATTCAGTTCTAACTCCATAAAAATTGAGTTGGAGCTATTAGGACCTTTACAACTAACATTGCATAAGCATTGGTAATTGGTTATTGACTAACTTTCTCTTACAGTTTCATAATTAACAGTTTTTGAAATAAGCACATTTTGCTATGATAGCAATACCCATTACCCACCATTGTTCCCAAGATTCAACTTTTTCCATCACAGAGTACCTTTTTGCTCTTTACTCTTTTATCCCAGAAAAACCTTCAAGTGGGTTCTTGAAGTTTCAAACTTTCTGTGAAGGAACCCTAATCGGAATCAAGAAAATGAAATTTGGTGTTACAGTTTTGGTGTTTTTCGCTGCTTTAGCGACCGCCCGTTTCAGCAAATGCTCTACTGCTCTCAGCCCAGATGGTATGTCCCTTTTCCTTATAAAAAATTAGAAATTAAGAATCATGTGCTTAAAAATCCAGTCTTTGAGCTCGATTATAATTTTAGAGCTGGGGATTTCATGGTTCTTTTGTTTACGTTTGGTGCTGCCTAGGTTTTGCCCTGTTGGAACTGAAAGTCAGTTTGAATGACACTGGAAACTTTCTGAGTGATTGGAATGAATCTGATGAATTTCCTTGTAAATGGACTGGTATAGCTTGCAGCGGGCAAGACAAAAGAGTTATAACTATGTATATGAGACTTATATAGTTTTTGTTCTCAATTATTACTGTTGTTTTTGTTGTGGGGTTTTTGTATGTCTTGATGAAATTTGCCCTTTGTTTGTCTCTAGAAATTTGCCACTCAAGCGTTTTCAAGGAACTATACCCACTACAATTTCTAAACTCGATAAATTACAAAGACTGTGAGCCGTTTCTTTGTTTACTTCATTCGTCTAAGTTGTAAAGATTGATGCTTTATGCGTTTTGCTGAGTTAATTCATGTTATATTATCAGCTCACTTCGCCAGAACGAACTTCATGGTATCATCCCGGGGGAAATTTTCCAATGTTCTGAACTAAAAGCCTTGTAAGTTGAAAAAATTCTCGTATTTTTTACTTTTGTAATGTGTGGCATTTTTATGAATTTTGCATTAATGAATAGTTTGTTTGTGTAGGTATCTTCAAGCGAACAATTTAGAAGGTGGTATACCGTCAACTATTGGAAACCTTACTCATTTGCGTAAATTGTAAGATCGAATTACATTATGGTCCCATTGTGTGTGTTAGTATGTGTTTTCCTTTTCTCCCATTGAAACTCTGATTGTTTGAGTTATGGAATTTTATAATTTTTTACCAGGGATTTGTCGAGCAATTTACTGAAAGGTGTTATACCTTCTTCTCTAGTTCGCTTAACGAATTTAACATATCTGTAAGTCGGGATAAATTTAAGTTGGACAACTGTATAGGTGTTGCTAACTTGCTATTATATTCGTAACTTATATAGTTGATTCACTTTTCCTCCCCTTCAGAAACTTATCATCAAACTTCTTAACTGGTGAGATCCCAAGTATTGGAGCTCTAGCAAGGTTTGGGTTCACTTCGTAAGTTCCTTTCTCAAAATTTTTAATTTTGGCATTAATTCTGTATCATGTTCGTATTTCGTTTTATGGATTAGTAGTGAATATTCGAGAACAGTGACGTTTTCTTTCATTATTGAATTTAAATTATCTCTCTGTTTCTTTATTTTTTTTACTTGTGAGATTTGCTGAATAGAGGAATACTAGTAATTCGAGCAGATAAATTTGAATTTATAACTTCTAGCTGTGTAGCTTTCATTTCTTTTTTAGCATATTCCAATTTATCTACTTACCTTTTTGGGTTTTATCGAATTTTTTCGAGCCTTAGGTTTCATGGCAATCACCATCTTTGTGGCCTACAAGTGGACAAGCCTTGCAAAACATCCCTCGGTTTTCCTGCCGTGTTGCCTCATCCAGAAAGTGACGACACGAAAGGTAATGCTTTCAACAGATGATCTATAAATTCATTTTTATTTCAAAATGATTGAAATAGTAACTTTTTTTTTTTTTTTTTTTNAATTTGCATTATGGGTTCAACAGATCACAAGAGATCGTCTCGTTATGTTAAAGGTTTAGTTATTGGCGCCATGTCCATGCTCGGCTTCGCCATTATTTTGCTTCTCGGCTTTCTCTTGATTTTGTTGCTTACAAAGAAGGAAAGAGCTGCTAAGAAGTACACAGAAGTGAAAAAACTAGCTAATCAAGAACCAAGTAAACACATCCTTCTCTCTTAGAAATCCCATGTATTTGTTTCTATTGGCTAAGTTGGAAATTTGAGTCCATGACGATTGTGTCTGTAGTGAATTAGCAATTTCAACCGTTATCGGCTTTTTAAGTATGAAAAGACATTTAGGTAATGATGAAAACATTGAAAAGAATAAATTTTGGAAGGTAATCTATTTCATACTTATGTCAGGAGCTAAGCTTATTACATTCCATGGAGATCTTCCATACCCATCTTGCGAGCTCGTGGAAAAAATCGAGTCTCTTGATGAGGAAGATATAGTGGGGGCAGGAGGTTTCGGCACCGTATACAGAATGGTCATGAATGACTGCGGAACTTTCGCGGTCAAGAAAATTGACCGGTCAAGAGAAGGTTCCGATCAGGTGTTTGAGAGAGAACTCGAAATCTTGGGTAGCATCAAACATATAAATCTAGTAAACTTGAGAGGTTACTGCCGATTACCTACAGCAAAGCTTCTTATATAGATTACTTGGCCATGGGCAGCTTGGATTATTTCTTGCATGGTAACTCTCTGTGCAAATTCATAACATTCATTTGTTTACCAAAATTACATTTTAAGTCCTTTTGGTTTAACGTCATAGTAATTTTAGTCCCAAGATTCCAACTTTTTGCCTTTTGGTCCTGCAATTTAATATTTTGCTGCAATTCAGTCCTTCGAGGACTGAAATTGCAACAAAAATTTAAATTAGAAATTGCAGCAAAATATTAAATCACAGGCCAAAAAACGAAATATTGGAATATTGGGATTAAAATTGCTATGACGTTAAACCATTAACAGGACTAAAAATGTAAAGTTACCTTTGTTTATTGGAATTTAAATGGTTTTCGCGCTAATTGAGACTGTATATATATAATTATTTTTTAATCAGATAGTTTAGCCGAAGAGCGTTTGCTAAACTGGAATGCACGTTTGAGAGTAGCTGTTGGTTCGGCCCGGGGATTAGCTTACCTACACCACGATTGCTCCCCAAAGATAGTCCATCGGGATATAAAGTCGAGCAACATACTACTTGATGAGAATTTCGTGCCTCGTGTCTCGGATTTTGGTCTTGCCAAGCTATTAGTCGACGATGATTCTCATGTCACGACTGTGGTTGCCGGCACATTCGGCTATTTAGCTCCGGGTTTGTTTCGTTTCTTTTTTGGAGTTTGGATAAGTTTTTTCAGCGTTCTAAATTTTCGAATCTTCACGTTGTCATTTCACCATTTTCTAAAATTCTTCATGATTAATTGGCGAATGAATGATTTTACATATTGAAATCATCGTGATATAAACAAACTGACGAACGAACACGCACGGCCTTTGAAATCTTTTCATGCTCAACCGTAAAACAAAATTTCAAAACTAGAAAAATATAAATTAAGTACCAAAATCCGGGAATACTAACGGGGGTTGTATTCGTTTGGGATTTCAATTGACATTTTGAGACATTTTGAGATTTTACAACTTTTAAGAATTCTATGTTCGTATATGGTTTTTCTTTTGAAATCCCAACAAATCTAAAAGTCTTAACAAATCATAGTCTCAAATAAGTTAAATACCTTATGATTTTGTAACACTTTTTAAAATCTAAAATGAATACCTCTAAATTGAATACACCAGAATTTCTAACGTGTACATTACGAAATCAAAATTAATGTGTACTTGCAGAGTACTTGCAGAGAGGTAGGGCCACCGTGAAGTCGGACGTTTATAGCTTTGGAGTGCTTCTCTTGGAGCTCGAAATCGGAAAAAGACCCACCGACCCATCTTTCGTCCAGAGAGGTCTGAATATCGTCGGATGGGTACATCTCCAAACACTCGATTCACAAAATTCTCGCTAAAATAAAAAAATCTTCTAATTACACGAGCATCACCTTATCTTTCGAAATTAAATATTTTTTTTTTCTAGATGAATGAGCGTTTGAGGGAAAATCGGCTGGGTGTCGTGCTCGACAAAAGATGCTCGGATGCGGATTTCGAGACGGTCAAGTTAGTTGTGCAAATTGCTGCAAGATGCACGAATGCAAACCCGGACGAGCGGCCCACAATGCAGCAAGTCCTGCAAATGCTGGAGCAAGACCTGATGACTTCTCCATATTTAAGCGAGTTTTACGAGTCGCATTAGGACAAGTGATGGTGACGTGGAACTTATAATAAACGTGTAAATATTCCCGGGTGAACTAATTTGCATTCACGCGTTTATGTTTTTGAATCTATTTATATATATATATATATATGGTCACGCTCCGGTGAGAATGGTGCAGAAATAAGAATAAATTTTGACCACAAGATTCATATGATCCGACGGACAGTGGCAACGCACCTTCACATAACTGGAAGGGCGAATTGGTAATTACAATACACAGTGTCCCTAAGCTCGACATTAAATCCGACATTAAACGCCGTTCTCTCTGCTCGATAATAAATCTCAAATCTCCAAGCTCGTCGTTCAAATCTCGAAGCTCGAAATCGAAATCCCAAATTTCCGAGCTCGAAAGGCTCTCAGATTGCAAAGTATCGCCATCAAAATTGAATTTCATCAATCGTGAATCGGCATCCGCACCATGAACAACCTCTGTTAGGGCAAAAATCGAAATTGAGGTATGTATGTTATTCGAATTTAGGGCTTTAATTCAACCTATACAATGTATTCAGGACCTTTTGAATTGTTAATATAGTGCTTTAATTCAACATGAACGGTATGCAAATTTTATTGAGGGTTTTTTCGAATCGGTATTTATTATTATTATTATTATTATTATTATTATTATTATTATTATTATTTTAACTGTAAATTTCAGGCACTCATACGTTGTACTGCTTTCGTACGGTTGCACCGCACAAGATGATGGAATCGAATGTTGCTCAGACGGGTAGGGACCAATGATTCATCTTTTACAGTGTAAATATATTCAATGAGTCATAGTACATGTAATATGCCAGATGAATTGTGCAGGTTTCTGAACAGTTTTTTGTATTTGACATCTGATTTATTCATTATTTTTATATTGATTCTATAATGTTCATGCGCCAGGTTGTTTATGTGCATTGCTTTGTATTCAATTGTGCAATTTGCTGAACTTATTGCATGCATCCACAGGAACACCGTCTTCATGTACGGGTCGTCAGCAGATATCAATAACTCCTGGTGGCACTAGGTATTGGATACCACAGTGTGATGATCCACTTAAGCCTTATAAGGGGCAAAAATTCCGAACACTGGATGATGCAATAATCTTCTACAAGACATATGCGTATGCTGTTGGTTTTGATGTACGCCAGAGCACGTTAATCAAGGCACGTGATAATAAGACTATACTTTGGAAGTATATGGTGTGCTCGCGAGAGGGTTATAAACACAATACACATGCTGTCCATTCAGTCCCAATCCCAACCGATGGGCACGTAAAAAGGACGAGTATCCAACCGTGTGGGTTGTGTTGCAAGGATCGTGTTGCGTGTAGACGGGCTCAACGGGTATGCTGTCAGCTCTTTCGAGGATAGACATAACCACTCGATGACTTCTGGCGAATGCAGACAACATCTCAAAATCAACAGAACCATGAATGCGGGACATCAAAGTTTTGTTTTGAACTGTATAAAGGCAAACATAGGGCCTGTCAAATCATACAAGCTGTATAAGGAAATTGTGGGAGGATATCCCGGTATTGGTGCCACCAGCGTGGATTTCAAGAACTTCAAACGGGAACTCCTTGCTTACATCTCAGGAGCAGACGCACAATTGGTTATCGACAAATTCTATAAGAAACAAGAGAATAGCACCGCCTTCTACTTTCACTACGAAGTAGACGATAATGACTGCTTGCAACGACTTTCCTGGGCAGATCCAATTTCAAGGCAGAATTATGGATCATTCGGGGATGTCGTAACATTTGATGCAACGTATCGCATAAACAGGTAACTTACTACATGTATTCTATATGATTGCACTGTATTACATAATAATGAATGCACAAATATCATTACTGTTTGAACATTACATAATTACAGGATGCATAAAATATCATACAGTGTTGAACATTATACTAAATCTCAAACTGAAATTGGTTATATTTACAGATACAAAACAACATGGTGTTTGCTCCATTCACAAGGATCGATAACCACAACAAGTGTGTTACTTTTGCGGCAGCCTTGATATCGAAGGAGGACGTGGGTTCTTATGTTTGGGTGTTTGAAAATTTCAAAGCCGCCATGATTCGAGAGCCAGAATACATAGTCACGGACCAAGATCCCTCTATTGGAATTGCATTTTCTAAGGTATTTAATACATCAAGGCACCGTTTTTGTATGTGGCACATAATGGTCAAATTATGTGATAAGGTAGGGCATTGTTTGCATAATGATGTCGCTTTCAAGTCCAGACTTAATGAGCTTGTTTGGAATCGAACAATAGAACCACCAGAATTTTGAGACGAAGTGGACTGAACTCATGCATGAATATGATCTGGAAACCCACAGCTGGTTTATTGATTTGTATGCAAAGCGGGAACATTGGATTCCGGCATTCTTTAGAAGTGTTAAAATGAGCGGGCTAATGAGAACTACGTCTAGGTCGGAGAGTGAGAACAATTGGTTCGGCTATTTCATGAACAGTCATGCTAGTCTAGTCGAATTCTTGCTACACTTTGATAGTGCAATGGATGCGCAACGAAACACATCAATGAAGTTGCAAGCGGACAGTGAAACACACTTGGCTAACTTGAAAACTCCATTGGCTATTGAAAAGCATGCTGTGAGTGTATATACCACTGCCATATTCTATCTTGTTCAAAATGAAATATGTGCAGCGTGTTTCCATTGCCGTCTTATAAAAATCTCAGATAAAGATGGACATACAAAATTCGAAGTCCAAGATATTAATGGCAAGACATTCACGGTGCTATACAATGTGAGTTTGAAAACGTCCACGTGCTCTTGCAAGCATTTTAAATTGTATGGGTGGCTGTGCAGGCACATTTTCGTTGTGTTGAGAGATGTGAACGCTGAGGTTATACCGACTGCACATATTCTATCAAGATGGACAAAATTGGCCTTTCTGAACCCAATGTTCTGCGTCGTTGATGGTATAACCGAACAGTGTGCTCAAATTGATGATAGGAAATTAATGGTGAATAAATTGTGGTCTGACATACATCTATGTATGGGATTGGTCGAGTCATCCATGAACCGCCTTGTCGAGTTTTCAAGACTTATCGGAAACCACAAGCACAAATTGATGACTGAACAGGAAGGTGTTCCGACCGGGACGAAAGAGCATCAATTTGAAACGTTTGTCGGCACGTCTGCCCCTCAGGAGTTGAACATACACCCGCCGGGCAAATCAAATAACAAGGGCAGTGGGAAAAGGATGAAAAGCGCGAAGGAGCAAGCAGTCGAAAAATCCATAAAAAAGAGACGTATATGCAAGACGTGCGGTGAGAGGGCACGTCACAACACCCGGACATGTCCCAAGAAGCAGTAGAGGTATGATCTGTAGTACATTTCCCTCTGTTCATGTGTTGTGTTAATTTTTGGTTACACGAAACTACACTATTGGGATTACACTATCGAGGTATGAGCATTTCTTACATAGTTCACTAATCGACGTATCTAATCGCTTGCAGACAGTGTCAGTTGGAGTCAATGAGAGTTGGAGTCAATGGGAGTGGATGACGATGCTGGAAGCTTCGATGTTGCACTTAACCCATTATTCCACACTTTGTGCATTTTAGATGCCTTATTATTTATTTCTTTGAAGACTATCGTGTTGCTACAGACGGTGTTAATTGTCTATCCAACTCTATGTTGATTTTATTATTATTATTATTGTTATTATTGTTATTATTTTAGATGTCTGATGCATAGATATACATAGCTCGAAACGATTGCACGTTAGTGAATGCAACATAGCACGTTAATTTAGACAACGATGCACATTAAGAATCCTTGCGATTACATGACTGTCAATCACAAGTACGCATGATTACATAAAGGTTGCACATTGTTATGTATCGTCGAGGATGACATTGAGATACCGGAAAATAAAGAAATATATATATATATATATATATATATATTGCACACCAAAAACTTGTGATCGATGTACATTAGTGAATGCGTCAATGCACAATAATTTAAACAGCATTGCACATTATGACACCGACAGCATTGCACACTATGACACCAACTGCACAGCACAGGTATATGTATGATTACATCAATGTTGCACATTATTATACATAATACGGCACAATAGTTGGTGATAGCCTGCACATTATAATATCAGCCAACATAATATATTTACAACCGCATTTCAATTTTCAACGTTCATGCCACAAAAACCATCATCATTCAAGAAAATATGTCCAAAACCCAAAACACGACATATGAACGCATGAGACACCATATCGCCTGAACACACAAAACAATACAATACGACGTCCTAAAACGATCGACCATGGCATACATAGTCATAAACGATAATAACATGTCCATAGAGTGCCTTACAAGTCTCATACACACCATTCACTCAACAAGGAGTAACAGCACGCTCCTGTTTCTTTAACACAGAGGGTGGAATCTATTGGCTGCAACTAAGTTGTCATCCTTCAACTTGTTGTTCGGGGCGCATGCTACGATGTAGCAATAACGCCTTGTCCGCCTTCTTTTTTTGAGGAGTCCAGATTTTCGTAGCAGTCCCTTTGAACGTCTCCATGTGACGCATGGTGACCACCCCACTATCTACCATATCGACCCCCACCGTCCATGTCGGGTCGACGATTTCCGGTGTCGCCATATCAATTACCTTGGAGAACCTCCCCATTTTCCTCTCGCTCAGGTATTTTGAGAACGATTGCTTCTGCATACATAAACATAAATATAAGTCGATAAATGTCAACATGTATTCATACCATAACACAAACAACACAACACGAATGATTATACTTACAAGCAACTCAACGCGTGCCGTAACCTTTCTCTTAACTGCAGTTTTTTTACAAAACCCAACACTATCCAGAACTACAACTTTATACTTTTGTGCACCCGGCGCAATGCATAGCACACCAGAAAATGCACTCGAATGTACAGGGAATAAAAACTGTAATGAACAATAAATGTACGGTTATCATACACGTCATTTCACTCTTATAAAGGAAATTAATTCGAGGTCGAAAAGTATAAAATCAATTGACAAACTCACCAGTGACATTTGGTTCAAATGGTACCGGGACATCCGCACAATCTCAGCATCAATACAGTCTGCAAACATTTTGTAGTTGACGTCCTTCTTCCCCTTGCCCTCTACAAACAGCTGCGAACACAACATCACACGAACACAACATCACACGTTACGAGATTTATTATATGATATCGACAACCTTTACACACACTTTGTCATGATTTCATACACATCATACCTCATTACATGGAGACGTAGATGCATAAAAACACGTCGCTGAACCACGACTCTTCAATCTCTCATTGTAATTAAGAATAAAAGCCCACAAATCTATCATCGCCTCAGAAATATGTTCATTCGGAATCAAACATGCCACAACAGGCCTCGGGACAGAATATGGGATAATTTCAAACGACTGGAATATTATTATGTCATTTTGCCTAAATATCAACAATCATAAAAACATAAAAAACATATTCAGTCAGAACAATACGTACTACTCACAATACATTAAAATTATAAATAATATTATAATTAATGTCCGAGTAAGTACAAAACATAATTATCAACACAAGTGAGATAGCTTACTCGCAAGGCAAGTGATTCTTCATAACCCAGTTAACTACCATCTTCTCTTGTGCGTCTAGTTTTGTGTTCACATCAATCACCCGTTGCGCATACGGCGACTTGATTGCACTAGCCGCATTGGTTTGCCGCTTAGGCCTAAGCCTCGTATTGCCGGCCGGTCCATCATCCGGTCCATCGGCGCATCCGACACCAACACCTAAATCAAATCACACAAATCACACAGAGAACACTAAACTACAAAATAGAATAGAGTGCAAATTGTATAATTCATTAAATAAAATGCTCACATATACCTTGTGTTACTCCAGTCTTAGTCTTATTTGCACGTCCACTCTCAACACCATCAACACCATCCACACCATCAACACAATCAGTCTCAACACCATCATCACCATCATCAGTCTGCTCGGCGACAACAACATCATCTACAACCATAACAATAAACCCAACAATATAATACAAAAATTATATGCAGAGTACAACACGATTAGACACAATTAAAAACACATAAAGAGATATAATACCCATTAATATACATAAAAAAAATAAAGAACAAATAACGAACAAAAAAAAGTGCATTAATAGTAGTATATATACCTTGTACACCAACGACACCCGCATCATCAACAACGACATTCGTATCAACAACAATTTCATCTATAACAAAATATTAATCACTAAAACGTCAACAGAACCATATAAATAAAATCGTTAATCACACTCAAAATATCAATTTTAACGTATGTTACCTGTGGGTATATCTGCCCCTGACGATCCTCCAACACATACTCCATCCGTCGTTTGCTGAGCATTAATGTCGCTGCCACTGCCCACTTCCCCCGGTCGATGGTGGCGAACATCATATTCATCTTCGTCTGATGATAATCCCAAACCCAAACTATAGCTTGGACCCTCAAAGTGTATCCGTCTAAAACGGTCCCGAAGTGCAACAGCATCCAATATACCGTCTAATGTCGCTATCGGTGTCGGGTCATTCCAAAATGCATCATCCACGGCCTGAGATGCACTCTCCTTTACGAAATCCTTATTCAAGTCTTCTTTTTGCGTGGGGTCCACTTGGGTTGGATCCATATCAGGTGACCCTTGTTGCGTCTTCGTGTGCTGGCTATAATCCACTTTGGATTGCTGCTTCGAATCATCACTTGAAACGCCGAGAAATTTCTGTGCGGCAGCTTGCATCTTCATAAAATTTTCATCGCCAAATAGAACCCGTGCAGCCTTCTCAACGAGCTGTAATATCTCAACACCGGTATTTGCAAGAATTCGGGTTTTAGATGCAAACTCTTGAATGAATGCCTGCCAATAAGAATAATAGTGTATACACACAATCAATTGAACATTATATTAGATATATGTACACAATCAAATGAACATTATATAATCAACAGTTGCACACTACATAAACATCAATTGAACATTATGTAATAATCGAATGAACAATATATATCAACAAAAAATTATTAACACACACATTTCCAAAAATGTCGAAGTTTATCAGTCTTAACACATAGCGGTTTCACATATCGAAATTCTAGCAAATAGCATACCACCATTGTCGCAGATATGCACATATCTGCCCAAACGAAATGGCAACCATAAAAAACTGAATTCGTGCATACCTGGACATTGTCTTCAGTCTCACACCCCGTCGTCGGCTCATCATCATCATCAGCACTTTTATCGTCCGGACAACAATCGGCTTTCACAACATGCACGTCAACATCCACGAATCCTCTACCAAATGCACCAGTCTCCATCTCATCGTGCTCTCTGTCCCTTAATAGGTCGTTACTCCATGCTTTGAACGTGGGGAACGATCTTGTAACTGTTCTCATCGACAACACCACTTTATCCACATAGAACAACTACACAAGAAAAATCAACATGATCACATAACATAATATATATATATATATAAAAAATAAAAAAAATCAAAAGAATCACTTGTACTAACCGTCAGAAACATCAATGGGCCTGTATATTTATTCTTTTTGTCGTTACCGCCTCATGATTTTCTTGTGTTCACGAGGCAACTGATCATATACGAGCACCAGTTCATATCGAAAACCTTGGATACGTCATCAAGCAAGTGCACTATACGAGAATTCGCCATTCCGTTTTGACAGCTCTCAAACAAACACGTCACCATCAGAACAATGAAGTGCCTCTTAAACCAATCGTCACAGTCTGCACATTCATGAATCTTCTCGAGCACCTTAGTTGCTGTGATATTGGTTGAGCTTCTAACATCACATAGGCTAATCCACTGATTAAGAATGTTCGACTCCACCCTCTTTTTTTTGTTCGAAATATGAAGTGAGCCACGAGGAAGTCCTAAAACCGCGTAAACGTCCTCCTCCCTGACATGTATCTTTCCACCATCGTATAGCTGTAGCTTGCAGTCCATATAGTTGAAGTTCTCCACCAACCAGAATCCCATTTTCAATGGCAACGACGTTATCTTCAAGTCTAACAGGAATTCGAAGCCCATCTCACGAACTGCATGTTTCTTTGCATCGGACAATCCAGTCACGGCCTTCACGAATGCAGTTGTTGACGATCTTGTATTCATAACAGGGAATACAACGTCATCGTCGCTACCAGATTCATATACGACCAGCTCGTTATCTGGTTCGTGAACAACATTATGTCCACGATTAACCGACTCTTTACCTTCACCCTCACCTGTTATATAACATAAAGTCGTAAAAAAAATAAAAATAAAAATAAAAAATAAAAAAAAAAAAAATAATAATAATAATAATAATAATAATAATAAATGCCATAACTATGTATATAATCATAAGCTGGCAAGTACATAAACATACCCTTATGCTCGATGGACGGCTTGACACGAGTACGAGGGCGTTCCTCCACGAAATCGTCACTGCTACCGGGTTGGTTCGGTGTGGACACAATCATATTCACACGCTTCGCACGTTTCACATCACATACCAGTTGATCTGCCCTTCTCTTACCTGGAGCCAATAATTAGTATTAACTCACGGTTTAGCAAATATTACATTACATACAGTTATATATGAAATATCTCAGTACATACACAGTAATCACACCACCCACCCATTATGACAATGACATGAAAATTCTCCAAAGGCCAATGCAATGGACACCCATATGTCTCATCTTTAAATTCAGTATCATATTAAAGAGTAAAGAACTCCACGCTAAACGATAGGGCATGCCAAACAATAATCAGAAAAGAGCCATAAAGGGCTCTACGAGTAAAGAAACTTTGATCCCATTTAAACTCATCAACCATTCTCTATCATTATCAACCAGAGACTCCTGAAATTACGAGCACAGAACTATAAGCATGCACAGAGAGAAATTTTATCCGGGACTCTTTCCATCGAGCTAATACAAAACTATAAATTCAATACGCTAAAAACGAAATGGATCAATCATTGGAAAAACAAAAGGAAAACAATAAATCTCAGTTTATACGTCCTCAAATGCCAGTGTTGTTATGAGTTTAACAGACAACTCATCAACATCGATGCTCAAAACCAAATAACAAAGTTAAGGTTATAAGTATGATTCTGTATATATCCAGTTCGAATCTTCGGCATACATGGTGAATAAACAACGGACACACACGAAAGTGAGCTCGAGAGAGGGATACGAGGATAATTAGATACAAATATATGTATATACACAGAGAGATATTGATATACAGGGATCCCACTCAATGTTCGAATGACTGAGCAATTTTCGATTTTAAATGGCATTATAAACAATGGAAAATCTCTGAATTCCTGTGAAATCGAAAATCGATTTCTTGCAAAAAGCAGAACATCCATAGAACGTATACTTGAACAACAATATACCTGGTTTTCGATTTTTTGACTGAGGAGATTTTCCCATTGTGTATTTCCCCGAATAGATTAACCCTAACTCCTGACAATGTGATTTGGAATGAAAAAGATCTCAGACAATTGTAGAAGACGCTCCAAATCAAAAAGTTCACAGCTCCATTGATGAGATTACTCACATTTTTCGGTTACCGATACTTTGATATCGATTAAATTGCCTTACTCGAAATTTCTGACATAACTCTCAATTACTCTGGGGAAAAACGGCACTGCAATGAATGTGTCTGAGCAACCCTCACAATTAAGAGGAAAAGACGCACCTGCCCTCAGCTCTTCACAACAGACCGCAACTTTCCTTTTAATCACTAAACTGCCACCGCGTCAGTCAACTTAAATAACAGGTTTGACTTGTATCCAAACCGTTGATTACATAGATCTAAAGGCCCGTATGGATTCTTATTTCTTTCACTATCTACCGTGTGATCCTATATATATATATATATATATATATATATATATATATATATATAAATGAAAATGAGATTTTTATGGAGATTTGCATATATGTCTTCATTCCAGGCTCTTTATATAGAGCACATTACACTTGAGCTGGCAAAAAATGTCAAAATAAGCGTGTTTAGATTCACCAGTCATGCCTCAAATTAATCTTGGTTTGCTACTGTGTGCTAGCATGCATATCTGCCTTTATTCTAATTTATTTGACAATAAAACTCGTGTCTATTGATCAACTTTGATTTCTATTTCTATCTTGTCAATGCCTAGCTCTAATTTCACGTTTATAAATCATTTGTTCCTTTGAAATTTGCAGGACTTTTAGATCTTGGAGAATAAGCATATGCTATACGTTTGGATTCACGGATTTGAAATTCCTTGATTTCGAATTTCTTGAAATATAAATTTTCTACTTTCGAATTCTTTCAGGCTATGTTTAGATTGAAAGATTTATTAAAGATTTGAAATCTATAAATTTTATATTTACAAATTCAAATCCTCATGCATGTTGGGATGGTAATGGAAGTTGGAGGATTTCAAGTTTATGATAGATATTTTTTAGTCATTATTTTGAAAGATTTTAAATGACTCTTCAAACCTAGTCATTTGAACTCTACTGTTTATCACCATTGACGACCATGCTGTCAGCGATCATTTAGGTTCATCACCGCCGCGAGTCAATACCATCGATGCGAGGTGGACAATTGATTTATAATATTTTCAACACATCAATTTAAAGAGTGTGCAAGTAAAAAATTTATATTTCAAATCCTTCAAAACAAACGTATCCTCAAATAATTTGTAGAAAGGATTATAAATCAATGTACTGTTTAGCTCGCACTGATGGTATTGACTCGCGGGGGAGATGAATATAAATTAAGAGTCGTGGACAGTATGGTTGTCCATGATGGGATAGTGAATTTCAAATGACTAAGTTTGGGAGTCATTTAAGATCTTTCAAAATAACGATGAAGATGTGTTGAAGATGTATTTAATTATAGTTTGTTGTGCTGAAGTGGATTATATATGAAGGGTACGTGTACTCCACGTCAGCAGAGTTTGAGATATCCACTAATTTGTGCTCGCTCTTAGTTTTTCTTGAAGATATCCACTAATTTATTTGTTGACAAGCCATCATAATATTTTTCCATTCGAGAATTAGGTTAGCACTAATATTTCAACAGACATGTCCATTGGAACGGATCATAGTACAAGAAAATGAAATTGCAACGAAAATATTATATTTCAGTACTAGAATTTCTAACGACAATTCCAATGGATATTCCAATGTTATTATTAGGAATTTCAACGAAAATATTTTGTTGGAATAAGTTTCTAGCAGTTGAAACATGGGTGAAAGTAAAGAAAATCAATGGGATCATCAAATTCTATCTAAAATTTCAATGAAAAACGGAATATTTTAATTGTAATTTTTGTTGGAATCATTCCAACTAAATTTTCAGTTGGCTTTGCATGCAACATTAATATTGAATTATTTGTAGACACGGTTCATAGGTGTTGTAAAGATTCACTAGCTTATTCAAGCATCATATCATACATATATATAAGTGTGTGTATGTGATGCCTTCCGAACTTTACTGGTAGAGCAGAAGAAGTGTTGAGCGACTTAATTCTCATTTGAGCACTAGTTATTCTTATTTGGGATGCACAATCTTGGGTTGTGGCTAAAATCCCTGCACAAAAAATGCGTTACGTATTAAAAAACACCTAATAGAAATATAGCGGGTAGTCCTCCTATTCTGGCTAGTGAGCCGATTGTAATTACGTGTTTAGTGAATGAATTCTTCCGTTTACGAAAAAAAAAAAAGAAATATAGCGGCCAAAATTGTAAAATATGTGTAGCAGGAACATTTTGCTAAAAAAAAATGTTGATATTTTCTGTAATTTGTTAGTGAGTAATACATATATTTGTGAACAATATTTATTAATTGGCATTTATATAATGTCAAAGTTATTTGACTAATTTGATACCTAGTCTAGTGTTGTAATCAAACCGAACGTTCGCGAACAAAAGCTCGTTAATTTGTTAACCGAGTCAAGTTCGAACAAAAAATTAAGCTCGTTTAATAATTGAATGAACACGAACTCATTCGCGAATGTTCACGAACATTAATTTAATATAATTTTATTTATTTTACTTTATTTTTATATATATTTACATGATATTTTTAATAAAAAATCTTAAACATAAAAATAGTTTTATTTTATTTTTTTATTTCGAGTTCGAATAAACAAATATCGAGTTAATCAAACATATTTAAAAATTTATATATCCTAAGCTATTTGAATACGAACGAATTTGAATTTTGATGAACAATTAAACGAACGGAATCACACGAATTGGCCGTAGAAATCAACTACGGCGAATTCGTGAATCCCGTAATACAGTAAAAGACAAACTTGTAGGATGCGTTTGCCGGAGGAGATGTAGCCGTTTTCCGGCGAAAATTGACTTCGAGCAAATTAGAGAACCCTCCTTCTAGCGCTAAACTGTTGATGTCGAAAATCGGACGATCAACCGTCAAATATGATACGAATTGCTTGTATGAAATCGAAGAACAAAAAATGATAGAGAATCGGTATTTTTCTTATTTTGGAGAGAAACCTCCTTTTTTGTTGAGGGAAGATGAATAATGAAGAGAGCTCATCCAACCACCTCTACTCTCTCTCTTGAGTGTTATGTAGGAAGAGAATGAAAAAAATCCCCTTCTCTCTCCTATCCTCCACATATATATACATGTGGACCAAAAATAGGTAGATAGAAAGAATAGTACAATAACATTAATGCAGGGTAAAAATTGGGGGACCCCCCTATAACTTGTGACGGCTTCGGTTGACGTCTATTTTGTCGGCAATTATTGCGTCTACCGGATGCGATTTCTGGGTCATCTGTCTCGAGAACCTGTTTGTATATTTATTTATCATGTACTTTCGGCTCCTTGGTTGTCGGGCTGCTATTTATTATTTTATTTATAATTTAATTAATTGGAGCCAAATTGAGTATCAACAATATAATTGCTAGATAAACATTAAATTTTACCTCATAAATTTTACCTATGTGGCAACTTTCCTAACACAAAAACTGTTACAATCCATTATTATTATTATTATTATTATTATTATTATTATTATTGTTATTATTATTATTGTTATTATTATTATTATTGTTATTATTATTATTATTATTATTATTCACCCTATCCCTTTAATGATAAAATATTTTCTTGCTCATTCTTTAGGTTAATTGAGACAAAAACCGTTATATTTTATATTAACTAAGTAATAAATATATTTTTTTTTTTGTTGTATCATATAATACCTATTATTAAAATTAACAATTATATTTTACACTAAATGATATATGAAAAATACATAAACATAAAATATTATATTGTAAAACCTTTTTGTTCAAATTTTTTATTCTAAAATCAATATTATATTTTTTTTATATGATTAAATGATTATTTTTTAAATAAACCAATTTATTTTAATGTCATAGTAAAATTCTTTAAATTTGCTCAAGAATTTGTTATAATAAATTTAATATTTTTCAACTAATTAATTGGTCATAATATCTCAAAATTATATTATTTATTACATTTTATATTGTGAAAACTAATTAATTGTCATAATATAATACCGTTTAGAAATTGGTCACAATACCCACTACAATTTCTAAACTCGATAAATTTTTGTAGTTTTGAGATATTATGATCAATTAATACCGTTTTCAAGGAACTATACGCACTACAATTTCTAAACTCGATAAATTAAAAAGACTGTGAGCCGTTTCTTTATTTAGTTCATTCGTTTAAGTTGTAAAGATTGATGCTTTATGCGTTTTGCTGAGTTAATTTATGTTATATTATCAGCTCACTTCGCCAGAACGAACTTCATGGTATCATCCCGGGGGAAATTTCCCAATGTTCTGCCGGCGGCGCTAGCGGTATCGGCCTTGCTGCCGCTCGAGCCTTCGTCGCCCATGGGGCCCGGGCGGTGGTGATTGCTGATGTCCGAGCCGATGAGAGCCGGGCCGCAGCCCTCTCCGTCAGCCCAGACGTGTGCAGTTTTTTTCGGTGCGACGTGGCCGACGAGGACCAAGTTCGGTCCCTCGTCGACCATACCGCCGCCACCCACGGCGGCCTCGACGTGTTCTTCATCAATTGGCGTCGTTAGTGACTCGGAGCAAATCGTGCTCGACCTCGACCTCGACAAATATGAGGCCGTCATGCGGGTAATGTTATATATTTTTGGTTAAAATGAAGTTAATGTAAGATGAGTTATATGTGACGTGGAAATGAAATAAATTTTCACTAGTTAATTTGAAAGTTACACTACATTCATTCATGTGTAAAAGATGAGTTACACACTGCGTGAATGTAAGATAAATTTCAAGACAATGCATGTAAGACGAGTTTCACTTTCACAAGCTTGAAACTTATCTATTTAATTAATATTCTTTAATTAATCAAACGAGTATCAACTTGATATGTTTAACAGTTAGACAAATACTTTTTGAAATCTTATTAAGAAAAGTAAATCCCAAACCCTAATTTTGTGAGTTCTCTAAAGATTTCCAAAAGAAAAAGAGATAAATTTGAGTTTTTGGGACAAATTTTTGCATCTTGTATTATATATTAATTTTATAAGTATCCATGAGAGAAATATTGAACAATAAAAATCTGAGTGTTGTTGAGCGTCTCTTTTCTTTCAGGTGAACGCGCGCGGCACGGCCGTGTGCCTGAAGCACGCGGCACAGAAGATGGTGGAGCTCGGTTGTGTGGGTGGCGCGATCGTGTGCAACGCGAGCGTGATGGGGGATCGCGGGGCGGAGGTGCACACGGACTACGGCGCGTCGAAGCATGCGGTGGTGGGGTTGGCGAGGTCGGCAGCGGTGCAGCTAGGCCGGCACGGGATACGAGTGAACTTCGTGTCGCCGGCGGCGGTGCCGACGGCATTGGCGGGGAGAATGGGTTTGGGGACGGCAGAGGAGGTTGAGGCGGCGATGGGGCCGTACACAAGCCTCAAAGGGGCGGTGCTGACGCCGGAGCACGTGGCGGAGGCGGTGGCTTTCCTGGCGTCGGGGGAGGCCGGGTTTGTGACGGGGCACAATTTGGTGGTCGACGGCGGACTCACCGGCCTGCCCTCCGGCGAGTGAGAATGTATTTTTTATATATGTTTTGATTTGAGTGTTATTGTATGTGAAGCTATATTATTGTGATGATTATTCTTGTTTTTAGTAATTATTATGACTAATATACACATGCATGCAGTTAATTTTATATAGGTGGAGTAAAGAAAATCAATGATATCATCAAATTCTATCTAAAATTTCAATGAAAAACGGAATATGTTAATTGTAATTTTCGTTGGAATCATTCCAATTAAATTTTCAGTTGGCTTTGCATGCAACATTAATATTGAATTATTTGTAGACACGGTTCAAAGGTGTTGTGAAGATTCACTAGCTTATTCAAGCATCGTATCATACATATATATAAGTGTGTGTATGTGATGCCTTCCGAACTTTACTGGCAGAGCAGAAGAAGTGTTGGGCGACTTAATTCCCACGGCACTTGTGATGCTTATTTTTGAAGTTCAATTCTGGGTTGTTGCAAAAATCCCTGCACAAAAAATGCGTTACGTATTAAAAAGCACCTAATAGAAATATAGCGGGTAGTCCTCCTATTTTGGCTAGTGAGCCGGTTGTAATTACGTGTTTAGTGAATGAATTCTGCCGTTTCGAAAAAATAAAAAAAATANTAAAATATGTGTAGCAGGAACATTTTTCTAAAAAAAAAAATATTGATATTTTCTACAATTTGTTAGTGATAACAATTAAACGAACGGAATCAAAAGAATTGGCCGTAGAAATCAACTACGGTGAATTCGTGAAGCCCGTAAGCTTTAGTTCATTAATGTTAGATTAATCCTAAATAGTTTACAAAATGCATGTCCCGCTTTTATTAGATATAATATCAAGAATTGTATGAAATAATTATTTTAAAAATGTAAAATTTCAAATGATCCGACGATCAGATTTCTAACTGGACGTCGTCAACGGATAGAGACTGAACCTCGAAATCGCAGACTCTGAAAAATTAATGAATAAAAATAGAAACACCCAAAATTGGTGTACTCAAATTTAATTTTTTTGTCTCTTTCCATATATTAGCATATACATTTTTTTTTTTTCTCTACGCAAGTTATATATGTAATTATGTGCATTTTCTACTTAGGTAAGGACTCACATTAGAGCATGATTGACATGAGTCAGATATTTAAACGCATCATAAGGTACGGTGCCAGACAGCTGATTATGCTGTAGGAAACNGCGGAATGGAACCGGTCAATTGATTGTTACTTAGATCCAAGATATACAAGTTCTGAAGAGCTCCAAGTTGCCGCGGAATGGAACCGGTCAATTGATTGAAACTTAGATCCAATGAATACAAGTTCGTAAGATCTCCAAGTGGCCACGGAATGCCACCGGTGAGCTTATTGTGACTTAGATCCAAGTTTACCAAATTCGGAGGAGCTCCATGTCGATAAGGTATTGGATTCGTTAGACTATTGTAAGCCAGAGACCTGAGACCCCAAAATAAAATCATAAGTTCGTTTGGAACTATGAAGTCGGGATATGGAATTTAATTAAGCGTGATATTTCATATATGACTACATGTATTTTTTGGAAAAAAAAATTGCACCACCTGCATGTACTTTTGAAATGGCCCTGCCCTATAGAGTTGTTTACCATTGTACCCCCTAACTTAGAGTGTTTACCATTTTTTTCCAATAATTTGTATGGGGTTCGAAATTAGTCCAAATGCATGTACTTTTGAAATTGCCCTATAGAGTTGTGGAACAATAATTTATAAATTTTTCCTGTAGGTACAAATCCACGTCAAAATTGTAAGAAAACAAGCTGAAATATCTTAAAAGAAATATATATATATAGTAATTACANACCAAGTTTAATTAAAAAAAAAAAACAACTTTAATTAAAAAAAAAACAACTTTAATTAAAAAAAACAACTTTAAAAAAAACAACTTTAAGTTTGTGAATCACTTACAGATTCTGCAAGCTAATACATTTACCAAGTTCCCACGGAATGTAACTGGTGAACCCATTGTGACTTAGATCCAAGTGTTTCAATATCTGAAGATCTTCAAATTGCCAAGGTATTTGTCCTTTCAGAGAATTGCCACTCAGATCCCTGATACCCCAAAATAAGTACAATCGGTTTTCTTAGAACCAACACATAATAATAAAGAGATATCTTTAGTTGCAAACATCACTTACAAAATCTCCAGCTGCGTCAAATGTCCAAGTTCCCCGCCCAGTACGCCGTCGAGCGAATTAAGTGGAAGGTTACTACCAAGAAGAGAAATTTAAAAATAAAAATAATAATAATAACAATAAAAGAAAAAAATTGAAAGACAATAATGATGAAGTACACAGATTAGACACGCATTTCGGTTACTAAATAATCATAAACCAATTAAGCTAAGCAAATAATAGTGAATTGAGTAGACGATCGAAAATGAGACGAGACACATACATTGCAGTCACGTGATTATGGTTATCGTTGCAGGTGATACCACCCCAAGTACCATCGCAAGGGTCGCCCGTTTTGCACCAGGAACTAAGATCACCTGAAGATGGATACGATTTCAATCTGTCCCTGAAGGATTTTAGAATAAGGCCTGTCAAACAAAACCAATGCAATAATTATGAATTAGATGAATTAATAATAATATGCATAATTAATTAATTTCTTAAGAATATGTATATATGACTGCTTAATGATTAGGCCTGCAAGGCAGCCTTACATGACATCACCATTTATGTTTCTAATTAGATGTTTACATACACAACTTTGATGTTTTTTAGTATGTATGGACAAATTTGTCGTGCTCATAAGAAATAAATAAATAAAAACACACAACTGTCTTATAGCTAAAAAAAAAAAGGCCAGAACTCGCAAACCTTCTAGAGTTGTGTGGTAAGGGCAATTGATCCTAATTTGATCAGGGCAGACGCTTTGAGGACGCATGATAAGGATCCACAGAGTGGCCATGAAGATCATGCCAATTGTGTTCATCATCTTATATGTATGTCTTATTAATTCCAGCTGACTCTTTTTATATGTATTCTGAAAAAAAGGCGATTTAATTTGCATGTATTGTGTCTTAAATTCCAGGCTCTTTATATAGAGCANAATAGGCGTGGTTAGATTGATCATGCCGCAAATCTTTAGTTGCTACTGTGTGCTAGCATGCGCGATTGCCTTTATTCTAATTTATTTTAATAAACTATGATTTCTAGCTAGTTCTATCTAGTCAATGCCTAGTTGTAATTTTATGTTTATAGTTCATTTTTTCCTTTGAAATAACTAATTGCACGGCTTTTTGGATCTTAGAGAATTAATTTTACGTCAACGTGTCTTATTTGTTTATCATATTTTAATTTGGGCATAATTAATTTAGGTTTCTCCCTCCACATTCATTCCTTTTTAAAATTAGTTAGGGTGCGATGGGATATGAATTTGATTCGTAATCATAATCAATTTTGAAAAAGAATATGGTATGGTTAATAGTTAGTGAGAATTTAAGTTTAAATTAAAATAATATTTAAAATAAAATAATTAAATTTATTTTGATGTAATAAACGTAGGATAAAAATGATTGGAAGTGATGATTAATTAAAATTACTCGAGTGGATGAATAGTGAATTAAAATTGATGAGATGTGCATGTAAGAATGATTGGTTGATATTATTTAATTATATTGATGATATTGAAGATAGTAAAGTTGGGTTAAATTTAAGTTTTTTTTTTTTTTGGGTAANTATATATATATTCTATCACACCCTTAATATGTTAACTTAACCCTCATCAAATCTAGGGTTGACATTTTTTGGAAAATATTCAATGCAAATCCGATATTGACCATAATTTGACCTACTATTTTGGATAAATGTTAATTCTTATTATATAAGTATAGATACACTTGAGCTGGCAAGAAAATGTCAAAATAGGCTTGGTTAGATTGATCATGGCCCAAATATATTGTTCAACTTTATTTTAATTTATTTTAAAACTTTATTGATCAACTTTGATTTCTATATACCTTTAATTATTCTAATTTATTTTATAAGTCCATTGATCAACTTTAATTTCTAGCTAGTTCTTTCTAGTCAATGCCTAGTTCTAATTTTACGTTTATAGTACATTTTTACCTTTGAAATAACTTGCAGGGCTTTCGGATCTTAGAGAAGTAATTTTACGTCAATGTGCCTCATTTGTTTATCATATTTTTGGGCATAATTTAAGTTTCTTCCGCCACATTCATTACGTTTTAGAATTAGTTAGGGTGTGATTAGATATGAATTTGATTGGTAACTATAATTAATTTTGAAAAACATGGTATGGTTAGTTGTTAGTGGAAATTTAAGTTTAAATCAAAATAATATTTAAAATAAAATAATTGAAGTTGTTTTGTTGTAAAAATAGGATAAACTAGTATTCAACCTGTGCATTTGCACAGATATAAATAAATTATTGTGAGTCTATATGATTAATGATTTTTCTTTTACTTTTTTGCAGACAAAATTTACAATTAAAAGAGTTGGAATATTTTTTTTAAAATTGTGTTTATCTGATTGGATGTAATGTATATTTTGGTACGTCTTTTATTTGTGAATTATTTATTATTTATTTAAGAATTTCAAATATATTTTTTATTTTAAAAAAAAAAAAAAATTAAATGTAACAACAATAATAACATCTAATCACATTATACGGTCAACACATTATATGGTCAACTGTCATTAATCAAAAGTTTAAAATGATTTTTGTAATTTTGAAGTGATGAGTATTAATTATTTAATGAATAAATGAAAGATTAAATACATCAAAATATAACGGTTTTTTGAGGGAAAATTGTTAAATTGCCACATAGGTAAAATTAAATAGGTTTTATTAAATGCTATTAGCTAGTAATTATATATATATAGAAATGATTGGAGTGATGGTTAATTAAAATTATTTGAGTGGATGAATAGTGAATTAAAATTGATGTAATGTGCATGTAAGAATGATTGTTTAATATTATTTAATTATACCGTTGATATTGAGGATAGTGCAGTTGAGCTAAAGTTGAGTTAAATTTGAGTTTTGATTATTATTTTTTTTTTCTCGATAAGTTTATATCCTATCACACCGTTAATATGTTAACTTTGTAAGAATGTGAGAAAAATATCTAATGTATTACTCACAAAGATATATACACATATATATAGATACGTAGATGGAACTTAACCTAAGGTTAGGCTTAAACCTAGCCTATAATACAGGAATACATTTTATATAACTAACACTCCCCCTCAAATTCAAGGTAGTATAGTGAAGATTAACTTGAGTTTGCTAAGAAGTAAACAAAAGCGGCCGGGAATGAGAGACTTCGTGAAAACATCTGTTGTTTGATTGGTAGAGGAGACTGAAACAAGTTGCACAGTCCCATAGGCAACATGTTGTCGAATGAAATGACTGTCAATCTCAATATGTTTGGTATGCTCATGAAAGGTATTATTGTGTGACATCTTGATAGCACTCTGACTATCACAATGTAGGGCAGGAGACGGCGACTGAGGTGCACCGAGATCAGCAAGGAGCCGACGTAGCCATAATAGCTCTAATGTGGAATCAGCAAGAGCACGATACTCAGATTAAGCACTCGATCTGGAAACTAATGTTTGCTTCTTACTGCGCCAGGAGACAAATGAATCACCTAGAAAGAAGCAGTACCCAGTAATGGAACGACGATCTGTAGGATCTCCAGCCCAATCTGCCTTACCTCAGAAACGATCAGGACACTTAGCAGAAAGGAGAAGAGCACAAACAATATCAAGAATGTGACGATGCTTCCGTTCAGCTCGTCCATTTTGTTGGGAAGTATAAGGACAAGAACGCTATCATTATTAAACTTATAAGTACACTATCATTTAGTTTGCATAAATATTAATACACTAATATATAAATATTCGTATATTTTGAGTATCTCCTCATGAAAGCATTCTTGATTTCATAATTTGAATTGCAGTATATTTATGGAAGGAAAGTATTCGTAATAATGAACTTCATAATTAATTTCAACCATTGATTTAGTAATTCATAGTTAGTTTCAACAATTGATTTGTTCGGACCAAATTGAACCATAACATAGTTACTCCAGATTTACCCTAAGTCGATTTGACTCGTAAAATTGAAACTCGATTCGTTTGTTTACTTAAACAATAAGTTGCACTGAAACAGATAATTAATCTCGTTTATTAACAAATATAAGGTACTCGACTCGGATCAAATAGCACCTCTAAACAAATCTATACTTTTCTTTCCAGACGTGTATCTAAGTATCTTTATTCTGCCAACAACGTAAGCAACTAAACCATATACTATTGAACAAGAAAAACTCCACTAAACCAGATTTATTTGGAACATAACATAAATTACACAGAGAATCCTATATACTTCTTCTGCATATTTACATCGTTCTATTCATTTGGGGAA